CTCCAAACTCCGCGTGTCCAATAGACCTCAACTGATCCAAACATAAGCAGCTCCGCGCTACACAGCCAGCGCAACCAACATAGCGTCTCCAATAGACAAGCCAGCAAGCAGATAAATAGTAATCTGATTCACATACCGGTCCAAGTGCTGTGCGTCTTGTGTCCGTCGCCTCTTACAATCCACAACCAGGTTCCAATGCAGCTCATGAATGGAATATCTTTGAAAAAAGCACCGTTTTCTGTTGACTAATATTCGTGGCATCCAATAGTCACATAGAGGCTAGGTAGTGGGCTCGTGACTCGTTTGCACTTGGTCATTATCTCATCAAAAGAAGACTGACGATCTTGACTTGCTTTTAAGTTTTATTAAAGCATATGAAACATTATACTAATGCAATACGGTCAACAGAAAGTTAGCTCCCGCTCCTCGCCCCTTCCAACCTCCCAAACAATCCGACAAAGGAAATAATAAAGAAAACGGAAGTGATCACCTGTGCCCCCGTGACCATGAATAACCAATAACAAATAACAGACAATTAATGCGCTTACATTAAGCCTATGGCGAATGTTAGTTTTTAAACGCGCTCTAATTTCAGAGTTTTGCATTAGATAACGTCAATAAAATGACTGGTAAATGTTCCGCGTTATGCCAGCCAGCTCTGTCTGCAGAAAGTCTGCTCGTTTGCAGCGGGCGAGACAGACACTTCAACACGGTGTTATGTGTGACAAAAACGAAATTGTTAGCGCGTAATGTTTAACAATCCCACTATTACCGTTTCAAAGCATGGAAACAGCGAAATGCCACACTCAGTGCTTTCAAAAGCAAATATACATTTACCATTTGATGAATTCTCTCATTTGAGTAGAAAACCGCCCAAATGTGGCTGTTTCAGACTTCAGTGCCAGATTCGTACTAAAACCAGGCCTTGGCGGGAATGGAGGCCAGAGGATGTGTCTGTCAGCGAACTAAAATGAAAGAAGCTAAAATCATATACAACAAATTGTAAGCACATTCCAAAAAGTTATTTTACACGTAACATTAATCACCTTTTTTCAGGAAATCGAACCGGCATGAGAAACTTTCACACTCTTCTGTAACTTAACGTATCTCTGCACCTCACGAACACGAACTTGACACCAAACCTGACAAAAATATGCGCAGTTAGTAATTTCTAAATGTGTTTACCGCAATCATATTTTGAGTAAGATTATCAACAAAAATGTTTTTTCCTGTGTACTTTTATAAAGAGAAAAGCAATCCAACTTACGTCTCGGTACCTTGAAGAAAAAATGGCGTCGTCGATTTGCGAGTCAGCAGTCATTGAAGGGCGGAGTCCAGACAAATTGGCAGGGTTTTTATTTCGCACTTTTAGTGTAAAAGTGAAATTACAGCATATAACAACACTGAACACGAGTACTGTTTAACACTGTAGATTGTTAATTCAACTCTTTGGGAATTAATAACTTTTAACACTGCAAATATTACACTGCTGATTTTACTGTGTGGGTGTGTGGGGTCCAAAGTGATTTCCTTAGCCCTTTTCCTTACTCTGGAGGTGTACAGACCTTGGAGGTTGGGCCAGTAATCGTCTCAGCAGTCTTGGCTGTCTGTTGTAGTCTCTTGATGTCTGATTTGGTATCTGAACCAAACCAGATAGTCCTGGTCCAACTACTCCTCTCCCTCGTCCAGACATTTTCTTTCTTTTTCTGCTTCTCTGTGTTGTTCTGTATTGTTTTGAACAAAACCAATTCAGAGAGTGCCTTTTTATTGTGCATGGCCATGTAATGGAAATACTTTAAATTATTAATTAAGATTTGAATGAGCTATTTAGCTCAATTATCAGTAATTAAAATAATTCTTATCAGCTCTTTTGTTGCAGAAGTAGAGGCTTTACACTATATTTAAAGTTTGGAACATTAGGTCTTCATTTCTGTCATGCTGTGTTTAAGCATTTGTAAAAAAAAAAATAATAATAATAAAAAAAAATAAAAAGATAAGAATGATCCATGATTTTGGTATGGGGTAAACTTTTGTGAAAAGAAAATTTAAGCAGTTTAGAAACATGTTAATTGACTGAATATTGTGTGAAAACAACATGAATTGTGTT